TTTTTTTGGGGGGGGGGGGAGAGGAGAAGGGGGAACCGCTGACTGAAGTACAGCAACGGGTAATTTCATCTTCTTCCCTCTCATAACTCCTTTATTTCTCCATCTTCCTCCCAGTCTGTAGCCCTTACCATCCATCCCCCCACCCCTTCCTCTAAAAATTTGAAAAAAAACATTTCTCAAAAACTGCTTAAATTAAACATTTCTAACAAATCCCAATGAGCAAGATTCAATAACAATTTACTTTTCAATCATATAATCAGCAACACGACAAAAATCAGCACATGTGTATTCACGTTTCATATCCGATAATACGGCATCACTGCCCGATTGCACCGGGATATGCAGAAACGAATAAACACGTGGATGATTCAAAATCCTTGCAATATCCTGAAATTCGGAAAGTGTTTTAGTGGGATTTTAGAAGGGGAAATACTTTCGACCTTTAAAATGGGAAATTTCCAGAATTTTCCAGAATAGTTTCGGACTTGTGACGTCACTGGGATGTTTTCATACATCAAAAGCAGCTATGTTGGACTTTTTCCACCTTGAAATGCACAAATTTAGCAATTGTCTATCAATTCTTAAAAATATGCGAACCGCCTTTTCCTGTAGAAAAAAGATTTGCTATAAAAACCAGAAAATATATTTTAAGAAAAAAATATACTTCAAGAAAATCGAGTATATAAGGTGGATTAGTCATTCCCAGTCGCATCATACATCCATCCGGAATGCATTCCACAGCAGCATTTAGCAAATCCGGTAGAACCTCAACAAAAATTTATTATAGAAATATCTTTTCACTCATTTCGCTCTGGAATATAAATTTTACTAAATTCTGAAATAATGCCGAATAATCGGAGATACGGCGGATTTGAACAGATAAATACGTCTTCATTCAAATTATTCGATTAATCCACTGTTATAGCTACCAATAAATTTATTTCACTGACTTGTTATAGTCAGCTTCTACAATGGATTTACTCTTGTGCTGCTGTGGATACCCGGATATCTCCAAGGATATCTTTTTAAAACGCTATTAAGACTATCGGCGATACTTTCAAAAGCTTTGTGATGAGTTGGAAGACTATTTATACCGTTTTGTTGCTAAGTCAATTTATTCTGGACGGCCACCGTCCAACCCTTGCTTATTCCTATTACATTCAGGGTTGGTACGACCTTGGGGTCGATATCCTTTGCTGAATGGCCCGTTGTCCCTGGCCCTGGTAACTACCTCCTTCCGTTCCCCTAGAGGGCCTTTGAGGCCCGTACTGCCTTTTACTTGTTTCAGAGTAGCACAGAAGGCATAATTACCGATAACTTATTTTTAATACCCCAATACTCAGTTGTTGATAAGTTCATTCTTCATAACTGAATGCTTATAATAATGAACTTCTTGAACCCCCCTCCCTCCCTCCCAAAAGGAAACCATAATCAAAGGTACGAAAAGAAACCAAGCCAATGTCGCGACCCCAAGCGCCAAGATCTTCGGATGTCAACCACACTTCCTTGCAGCCCTCGGCAAACGCATTTTGTATCCGTTCCAGAAGGTCATCCAGGCGGTAGCTGACCAGATCGCCTCGAGCGGATTTCGTTTTACAGTACGTGCAATGGTTCAAACAACCGTCACTGATCGCTAAAATCTGAAAAATTTTTGCACTTCCTTATCCTTTTGTAGCCTTTCAACAGAAAAATACCAAATTTGGCAAAATCAGCGCACACGTACATAAACTGAATTTGACCACACAGTTCAAGTACATCCCAATTAAGTTCACTACAATGCATTATAAAGCGGAATTAGCCCAAATAACTGTGCCAATAGCAACCACTCGCTGGCAAAACTGCCCATATCTCTTTATCGAGGATTGCTTAGAAGCAAGCTGATGGCAGGTTTAATTTCCTGGTACCAAATTAACAGTACAATTTAGCATCGGAACGAATGAACGAATCGTAGAGGGATTATCTGCTTCCTTAGACCGAGTTGAATTCCTGACAGTCAGCATCACAACATCGGTGTTTGCTACGAAATAATAGACCAGAAGGATTGTAGCAGGCGTCATTGTGTAAGGTGATATTTTACGGTGCAAACTGTCTTTCAGTGTTTAGATGTAAGTAGTAAGGTGGTATTTTACGATGCAGTCTCCCTGTGTGTTTCATCTCTTAGCTGTAAATACAGACCGGACTATGAAACTATGTCCGCTAGCTGTAGTGTGAGTAAGCGTAGGAAAAAATATTTTAGAAAGCGAGTATCACAAATTTACCTCAATGTATTTGTTTTTTCGAACTTTTGGTAGCATTAAGCTAGAATTGGGTTTTCTTCGAGATAAAAATCGAACACAGTTCCCTTGCAGTGTTTCTTCCACTGCCTGAACAATGCACTCAAGCTGCTTGACGCCAACAATTGAGATGCCTTCTAGAAACGGTAAATTTGGTTCCGCCTGAAAAAAAAAAGAAACAGTAACTGAGGACTAAAATGCTAGAAAATAATTGAGAAATGCTAAAAAAATTACAAATGACAGAAAAAACCCTAAGTTTAAGCGGAGTTTACATCGATTTTAATTTTTAAGGCACAATTTCATGAACAGAATTAATTTTTGCAAAAATGAATATAGGCCGGGAAGAAACTGAACTCCTCACACTCATAATCTTTGGATCAATTGAATCGTAATTTGTTAACCTCTACACTACTGGCTTTTGTGCTCCACTACAAACATATGGTACTTTTTACATTTATTTCAACACATAACATGTACATTTGTTTCAACCCTTAACGGTTACAGCTTCTACTGTAGCAGCTTATTTTGTCTAATTTTCGTGAATTTTTACGCAAATAGTTTGGTTTAATACAATAATCTTTATTCGTCAATTTCAGTGTTGAGTTAAGACGTATATGACTTAATGGACCGAAACATCTTATCTTACTCTTGCCTTTTTTCCTTGCTTATTGCATTCAACCGCGCCTTCGCAATTTCGGCTTTCAGGGTCAATCTGGATGCTACACCCGCTTTATCATTGCTAGTTAACCCAAGTACAACCTGTTTTACTAGCAAACAAAAAGAACTCACCTGAGACACACAGCCT